AACGGTAACTGTAACGGAATACAGTTACTCATATTTTGTATTTTAAATACGTAACGGCGGTACATGTATTCCGTTACTCCCCAACACTGATTGTTACATACTACTCTACACTGCTATTTTGAAGCCAGCTTTTGTTTGTTTGTTTATGTTTTGCTTTTTTCCTAAAAACCAAATTATATTTCCCTTTTCCTGATAAAGTGCTTAAACTATGTTGCAACAAGAGTTTCGAAATGGGTTAATTATACTTGAAAAGCACAGAAGGTGGAAAATATGGATCTAGCCACAGTGATGTCATCGACTGCTGTGTGAAGTCTGTTTTATTTTCATTGTCACCATCTTGGTAAATGTAAGATGCCATTGTTGTTAGCCAACTAGTATAACTTTCATAAGTATTTGAGAACTGGGAGAGAAGACAGCATTGCAGCTCGAACTGTTGCCTGTGATGGTCGCGGGATAGCGTTTACACAGTTTCTCTGTCAGTTTAGGCACCTAGCTGCGTATTGGTTCATTTCAGCTTAGAAAACCATTTTTGGAGATGTCATATTTGGGAGCTACAAGGGGCCCATCATCATCCTCATTTCAGGGTCTGCTTACAAGTGAGGACACAGGAGATTGACAGATGGATTGGTGCAGTGTTTGCAGTAATGTAATAGGTGTAGTGGTCTGTTAGGATGAAGAGAGAACTGAACGTGAAAGTGAAGTCAACATCCTCACCCGCACTTACAGCCACTAGCTATGGGTAGTGTCCAAAGAATGAAACTGTGGATTCACGCAGGACAAATGATCTCCCTCTGAAGAGTCGGAGGGTGAGGTGCTCAGTATTTGGTGAGGGGCTTGTGTCAAATGGACCCAGTTTTTGTGGCTCAGGCGGCAATCATAGGCAGAAAATGGATAGATGGCATTAAATAGCCTTAATGATTCAGTGGGGTATTTCCATATTTTATACTGTCTGTGTTTGGAAGCCAGATTCAAGTGGGCACTTCAAGAAGTGCTGTTTTTGATACTTCTGTGTGATATATTTTTAGACCCAGAGCTTGCTGGTTGACCTGAACACTGAAGGACATAAGAGCAAAGTCAGTGACAAGCTGATGAATGTAGAGGAGTTTATAGTGACTAGAAGGCCTCAGAGTCACTAAACACACGCATGTGGCACATATTCAGGAAGACAAAACAGTCACTAAAAAATATTTGCTCGCTTCTTGAGGTTAAGAAAAACACAGCGAGTCTGTACTGCTAGTTACTGATATTCCCTCCTCTTATGTGTGTAAGCAAACACACGTGTGTAAACAAACACACGTGTGTAAACAAACACACGTGTGTAAACAAACACATGTTACAGATCCTGACTGATAGATAGACATCTGTCCTCTGCTGCATATTTCAACATCTAACCCATGCCAGAGTTATTTCATTACTCGTGTATTGTATATGTCACCGTTCTGGGTCGGTTCGACCCAGCATTTTCAGTTCCTTATGTTTTGGTTTATTTTGCATCTTGGAGTGCTTTGGGCTAGTCTGGTGTTTCTTGATTATTTGTGATTTGTTAGTTACTATTTGAATTCTATGTTCTGTTTATTCAGGTTTAAGGAATTGTTGCCTATTGTTTGAGTTGCGTATTATTAGAGTTCCATGTTTCTGTTTACTCGTGGTTTAGGATTTGTGTTCTCATGTTTTGTGTGGGTTTAGTTCCATGTGTCATTTTCTGTCTGTCTCTCAGTGTCGAGTCTGCATCTTTGTGTAGTGAGGTCTTGTTTCCTGTTTTATTGTGAAGGTCTGCATCTCTTGTGAATGTGTTCAGTTTTACCTCTTGTCTCGTCTCGTTAATTGCTGTGTCCACCACCTGAGTGTAATCTCCCTGTGTTTCTCTGTGTGTATTTAAGTCGTGTCTTCTGCTATTGTAGTTGCTGGTCCGTCTGTGTATCTACCATGTTCCTTTCGTGTGTTCTCTCTGCTGTCACCGTCATATACCATCTTCCGTCTTCCTTCATGTTCAGGTTCGTGTTCTTGTTCAGGCTCAGTAGTTTAGTTGTCCCAGTATAGTTTAGTTCTCCGTTTACCGTTTGTCCATCTATATTTTTGTGTTTAATAAACCACCCTCACACCTTTACAAGTGCCTGCGTTTGGATCCTCCTTTATTTCTTCCACACGGCTCATCTCACTCGCCGTGACAGTATATGAGCCTATGCATGTTCAGAAACAATAAATACTAGCCTATTAAGTTCTTCATTCAGGCACGTTAGTACATGCTGAAGTAGTATTAAACTCTGAGGTAGATACACCAGTGAAAACAGTAAAAG